CTAGCTGGAAAAAGCCTCATCACTGGGCTCATCACCTCCCTTCATCCTTTCCTTGCTGCTTCTTCCAGGAAACCTTCCAGCTCTCCTCTGAAATCCTACCGACTTGGAATCTAGGGTATCAGAAGATTATAAAATAGTGGTTTTCAATGTTATCTGGAAACTTAATAAATAAAATATCAGAAATTCCAGTTGCAGTGAATTAAGTGTTAGCATATGTCTGGGGTTTAGACCCTATCTGTTTTTTGTGTCGACCCCGAGGGATGGAGGCTGGGAGGGAAGGATCTGAGAGGTATAGCTTGGAACCACTGGTCATGGCTACTACCTTTTTTACAGTAAGCAGCAAGCAGATCCTATTTTACACAATCCCTGCCTCCTCTGTTTATGGACTGCTTATTTTGTGTCAGGTTCCTAGGGAACCACTTACAATCTGTTAGCTCATCGAATCCCCAGCTCAGGCCCACCAGGTGGGACTGTGATGGTCCACATTCTGCAGAGGAGTTCGGTTTGACTATCAGGTCTGTATGTATTGTGAGGCCCTGAAGGTGGGCCTGGAAAGATGGGAAACCAGAGGTAAGATGATAAAAGTCCCCGGGTGCAGGCAAAGGGAGACCAGGGGACCCACAGGAGCAGCAGGGAGATGCGGTGCTCCACATGGATGGGCCCAGCCCTATAGCAAAGGAGAAGGGAGACTGTTTGCAGCAAGCAGAAAGGCAGTGGTGAGGCTGATCCAGGCAGAAGGGGCAGGGTCAGTGGGGATGGAGAGTCAGGGATGATCTGAGAGACATGGATGGAAGAGGAGCAAATATTGGGGGAAATTGAGAAGAGTCTTCAATGTGGGTGTCAGTTATGCAGGGGCCCCTGTTTTTGAAAATTCACAGAGTTTGCACTGCTGGGTATGTCTTCTATTTTAATTTAAAAAATAGAGTAGGAACCATCAGAGTGAAAGTAGAGTAGGAAACATCATTAAAGTCTCTCCTCTGGGCGTCATCCAGGACACCAAAGTGGCTCTCAGAATTTGCCTTATAACCTGAGAGCTGCTTTTCCTCACACAGTGCACGTTTGCTTTGTTTGGAAGAAGAGGTGAAAAAAGATCTGAGCTTTGAGTGGAACTTTGCAAAATGGGGGGACTTGGCCAATAGTCCTCACATTTACTGCCATTGATTAGGTTCTTGCAATATTTCCTGGAGTCTATTGCCTGCACCCGGGGACTTTTATCATCTTACCTCTGGTTTCCCATCTTTCCAGGCCCACCTTCAGGGTCTCACAATACACACAGACCCCATAGTCTGCTTTGTTTTTTTCAATATTTTAATGTCTCTGAAACCAGGATGCATCATATAAAAACTGACATGTCATAATTAATTAGCTGACCGTGTTTTCTTTCTTAGAAACCCATAGAATATAATCCAGAGTCTTGTATTCAAGGAATAGGATAGTGTATGGCAGGCCCTCTGCTGAGTCTGGTGTACACATTCCTCATGCAATCCTCACATCTTACGAGTTATCGGATGTTGTGAGCCCTTTTTCCCAGATAAGGAGTGGAGGTGTTGAGTCAGAAAGTCCTTGCTCGAGGTCACAGAACTGGTTAGGGCTGGACTGGGCATTTCAGCCTGTGCCACCTCACATCTGTGGGATCTTAGTACAAAGCAAGACCAGGTCTGTGACCTGGAGGGTGGTGGCCCTTCTTTCCACAGCCCAGGACAACCAGGCCGACAGCGAACACCGTCACCCGGCTCACCGTCATGCGATGCTGCCTCTTGTCACCCAGCACCGGTCTCCCCTCTTGGCCTTGACCCCTGGGATTCTTTCCTCCCTCCCAGGAGGGCTCCGGGTCCAACATCTGCAGTGACCTCCCTCCTCCACGGAGAGGAGGGGGCTGAAATGAGATCTCAGGGAAAAGGGGGAAGAAATTCCGAGCCCAGCTGGTTTCCCTCACACAATGAAGATCTGCTTAAATGGGAATTAGGATTAGTGCTGGGATTTGCCTCTCTGGGCAGAATGGTAATAAACTAATCTCCTCTCAGGCTGCAAGAAAGCAGAATTCCTGTGAAGACGGGAGACAGCTTCAGGCTCGGGAGTGCAAAAGCTGGGAAGTAATGTGGTTATTGACAGGCCTACGTGCGCAGCTGACATGCAGCCCCCAGCTCCTTCCCCGTGTGGCTGCGGCCTGTAATTTCGTTAATGTGTGACATTCACCCAGGCTGCGTGGCTGACAGGCATGCTTGACATTAATACGTGTTCCTCCTGGTCCCCAGAGATCATAAAAGCTCATTATCAGTTCTGAGCCAGTAAATGTAGTTCCCGGCTCAGGTGGGCCCGAGTCTTCAGAAATGCCCCCCGGGCAGTGAAGCAGCGGCCATCTGCGTGAGCCAAGAAATCTCCTCCTCCCTTTGTCCTGGGGACTGAGTCCCAGGCCACTGGGAGGTCACAGGAGCAGCCCTTCTGCCCACAGAACCCTGGCTTCCAATTTGCACCCAAGAAAAAGGGCTCCTTTGCCCTGCAATGGGAGGGAAACCCACCCAGCATTATGGGAAGATTGTTTGTGTGCATCTAGTCAGAGCCTCTGCCCAGCCAACCTGCTTCTAGGCTTTGGAAGTGCACGGACATTTCCACGCAGAGATGTGGGGGTCGCTGCAAGGTTGCAATGGCCGGAAACAGAAATACCCCACATATCCATGGGGAGGAGGACACTATTGTGGAGCACATGCACTCTGGGGCACTGTGCAGCTGTGAAAACGACTCCGAAGGTCTGTATAGTGTCACAGTCATGGGTAGACATGCTATCCCTGATAAGCGGCCTTGTATGTAGAACATCTGTGGCAGGATCCCATTTGTATAAAGTCACACTGTCTGCATGTGGGCTCACAGAGAGTGAGGTTTAGAAGGGCACACAGTACAGAGTCTTTGCAGAGATTGTCTGTTAATTAGGATGCATGGGGAAGGAAGAACTTTCAGTGTGTAGTTAGAGAATTGTAGTTAGAAAATATATGTCCATGCATGTGTATATGTATCATGAATTCCTCTATTGTAGCCTTAGTCTGGCTACATGAGGTCCGCAGGCTGACAATGTCTGGATGAATGAGGTAGAGGTAGAGGTGGAGGTAATATCCTCCGGCCAAGCCCTGTTCCCATCAGTTAGCAGGGAGCCCCGAGAATGCCCTCTGTGAGGACGGTGCACTGCAGAGCAGGCCTTGCACTCACGGCTCTCCTGCTTGCACCTCTCACTGTGGAGGTGGCACTTGCACCAGGCTTGTCTTCCCAGGGACCCGAGTTCTAGTCCTAGTTCTGCCCCAGTTCAGAGCTATGACCCTGGGCAAGTTATTTAAAGCCTCAGAATCCCTGGTCCTCATCCCTGAAGTGCTAATACTTTCTCACAGAATTGGAGAGGGTGTCGGGCTGATTGTCATAATTGTTTGAGGTAGCCTGAAACTCGATCAGGGCTTCCACTGTGCGGCCTGGCCATTGAGGGCAGCCGGAGCGGGGAGGGGGAGAGGGGAGGTCGGGGAACTTGGCTCTGCCCTGTCTGCTATAAGTTTTGCTTTTGTTCCTCAGCTGTGCACATGAATAACCTGTTCCCCTGGGACTGACCTAAGCCCTGGCAGGCAGGTGTGTGGCCTGGGCACAGTGAATTTGATCCTTCTCCTGTGACCTGGGACTCAGTCATATGGACAGAGGAAGTGGGAGGGGTGGGACTTTGGCCCCTGCACTCTGGGGCTGAGCTGTTTTTTCACCACCAATAGCCCCTCCTCTTATGACTTATCTCTTCATGGATTCCAGACCTTGAAAGGTTTGTTCTGCCCCCAAAGCCTGCTTTCATTAGGCAATGATTAATTCCCTTTCACATTTCCAAAATTACTCAGAGCGCCGTTTTTCCGCCTAAGGAAAGTGGAGTTCCCACACCAAGTTGATAATATTCTAGCTAGAAGCAAAGAAACATGATGCGATGTTGTAATTAGCATCTCTCAAAGTCATCACATGGACGTTGCACAGGCTCTGGGGCTGATGTTAGAAGACGGAAAATATGCCCCAATCCATAGGCCCTGGGGACACCATCCTGGGAACCTGGGTGGGGCTGGGTGCTGAGTTCTGTCTTTCTGGCCATGGGGACTCTGTCTGGCTGCTGCACCTGCAGAGGTGCAAGGAGGGAGCATGCTCTCAGAGAGCGGGTGCATGTCTGGACTGAGCTGGCCCCCAGAAGCCCCATGCCCTGCTAACCCACACCTTCTTAAAGCTTACTTCTCTCTCTCCTCCCTCCAGAGTGTCTTCTGAAGCCACCATCAGAGAGAGACGTCAAGAGAATCCTGCCACCCCTGAAAGAAAAGACCAGTTGAAAGAGGTAAGATTTTGGCATCATGGTGGAGCAGCATCTCAACTCAGTGACATAAGAGGGTGTAATCTCTTCTCTCCCTGCCCTCCAAGCCTTCCCTCCCTGAGTGAGAGCTCTCGACTCCTGCTGGGGAATGCAGGGCAGGTGAAGAGTCGCATTACTCTTGTCGCCACCCCAAATGTTTGTTCAGGAATGGGGAGCCAGTGTGATGTGTGAGGAGAGAGGCTGATGGTCAAGTGGGGTCTCATGAGGCTGGTTGTCCTGTTGAGGGGACTGCAGGTCCGGGTTGCTCCTGAATCCACCCAGGAAGTGAGGGCCGAGGGATTGGAGGGAGGGAGCCCTTGGAGGGGGGCTGCACCAGCCGCCTGATGGCATTTGCAGTTTTGGTTGCCTCTGGTGCCTGTGGTGGAGAAGCACTGGGTTACTGTCCTCATCACTGATCTGAGAGTCCCCTGCTCTCCCAGTTCATCCTCTCACTTTCAGACTGTTCTGGCTGGCCAGGATTTTCCCAGCTGCAATCCAAGGCAGGTTGGCCAGCTCCCCGAGGCAGGTACAGCGGGGCCAGGCTGAGGCCTGAGTGGACAGCCTCACAGGGATGGCGAGGCCTGGCACTGGTGTGGGCTCTGTCTCCCCATCAATAGTGCCTGTGCCCTGCAGCGCCCCAGCCTGGCCAGCTTTCGGGCCACAATCTTAATTGTAAGCCTGCTGCAGCAGATGCCCTATCCTCACCGGAAGCTATTGCCTTATCACAGCGCCTGGATCTTGCATGGCTTTCTTACTCAGGAGAAGGCTCTGAAGTGAGTCGGAAAAAGCTTAACTTCCCCAGGACCTTTCTGCTACGGGTGTTTCTCTAATCAGAGGAAGCTGAGGGCCTGGGTGAACGAAGGGAAAGAATCTCCTTTGTTAAAGTATACTTTTACTTTAGAAAAGTAAAAGATTTCAGAAAGGAAGGGAGAGCGAGAAAGAGAGAGAATCATCAGTGACGCCCCACACTGAGTATGGAGTCCGAAACCCAGGCATGTACCCTGACAGGAAATTGAACTGTGACCTCCTGGTTCATAGGTCGATGCTCAACCACTGAGCCATGCTAGCCAAGAATTTCTTTAAGTGCATGAAAGAGAAGCAAGTGTGTTATTGTTCCTGGGTTATCTTCAGGGGAACTGTGCAGGGAGCGGAGTGGTTTAGCCTTACCCCTGCCAGGAAACAGATCAATGTTAGAGTCACAGGAAAAATACAAAGAGGACCCGATGGCCACAGGCAGACAGGCATGTGCTGTTGTGGGAAATGTTTGCTGGGGTTTGGGAGTCAGACTGGTGGAGGCCAAGGCCCAGCTCCGCCTTCTCAGTAGCTGTTTGACTTCAGGCGAGTGATTTGATCTCCCAGAGCCTCAGTTTTTGGCAAACCACTGGGTGGTTGTGAGGGCGAGGAAACTGCCAGCAAGACATACCTCTTTGCTTTGAGCGATGGCAGCCCCCTGGAGTAATGTGGCCTCCCAAGGTGACCTCTTTGAAGAGGCTCAGGCTCTTGAGATGTGAGAGCTGGGTGTTATGATCAAACAGTGGGGTTACCCTGGAGACACATACCTCTTCCCGTGCCTGGTCTAAAAAAGGTCTGAGTATGGGACCTGGGTTGTGTCAGCTCTCCGTTCTGAGAGCTGGGGGCCACCTCGGGTATGAACTGTTTGTTCTTCCTGAGGCTTTATCCCGTGGTTTACACTTGGCCCTGATGTTCTTCCCTGGACCCTTTCTGTAGATAATAGCTGATCCTCCCACAACCCAAGAAGCAGGTATTAATACAATTTTTATAGGTGAGGACAACGGGGGTCCATAGAAGTAAATTACTCTAGGTTTCACCTCTAAAAAGCAGCAATTTTATTAGGACCCAAACACAGGGCTTTTGCCCCAACGGTAGCGTGCTTGATATATCACCCCACAGCACCCCCAGTGGCCATGTGGCACCCCTGCACACCTATGGAGCACCCTGTGTGTGCCCAGAGCTGTACCCCACAGCACCACAGTGGCTTCCCATGGTAGCAATGGCAGCACCTGCACTGTGGCTCCCCACAGGGCCCATCCAGGCCAGGAAGCACCCACAGGATTCCATAGCACCCATAGCACTCATGGTAGTGCCTCGTATGTCCATAGAGCATCCTGCATGCCCACAGTGACACCCCAGGGTGCCCATGGTAGCACTCTTCCCATGTTCTCTACTTGGCTTTGCATGGACTTTGCAAAAAGGGGAGTCCCTGGTGTCTTTATCTCCCAGCCAGACCGCTGCAACGCGCCGAGCTAGCGAGCCAAGGCAGTTTCTAGGAGGCATCAGGACCTTCCTCCTGCTGAGATCTAAGAGCAGGATCTTATATTTAGGGCCCTGATTCATTTCGAGTTAACTTTTGTGGTATATGGTGTGAGGTATGGGTCCAACTTCATACTTTTGCATGTGGTTATCCAGTTGGCCCAGCACCACGTATGGAAGGGGCTATTCTTTCCCCCATTGAATAGTCTTGGCCCCCTCATTGAAAATCAGTTGGCCATAGATGTAGGTGTGTTTGTGGATTTGCAATTCCATTCCATTGGTTAATGTGTAGATACTCATGCCAGCATCATGCTGTGCTGAGTACTATTGCTTCATGTGTAACTCTGGAGGAGTGTTAGTCCCAGCACCACGCATAGAAGGGGCTATTCTTTCCCCCATTGAATAGTCTTGGCCCCCTCATTGAAAATCAGTTGGCCATAGATGTAGGTGTGTTTGTGGATTTGCAATTCCATTCCATTGGTTAATGTGTAGATACTCATGCCAGCATCATGCTGTGCTGAGTACTATTGCTTCATGTGTAACTCTGGAGGAGTGTTAGTATATTTTAAAGCTCCCCAGCTGATTCCACAGTTGAGCACTACCGGTTTTCAGAGGAGGATGGGGCACTGTTACGGTGCCCAGTCAGGAGGCTGCTGGGATGACCCAGGGCAGTGCAGGGGGAGAGGATGCAGCCCTGAAGCCAAGCCACAATCATGACAGTGAAGAGGCTACTATCGAGTTGAGAGAGGGGAATGAGGGAGACATCCTGATCCTTCCTGACTCTGGGGTGGCCTCATGGATGACAAAGGTGAGAACAGAGGCCAGTGTTTCAGGTGAGCTTGATTAAACTCCAACCCACACCCTATATGGTCTGGAGGAAGGCCTGGGTCCCAGTCACAGCTCTGCTTCACTGTGTGACCTTGGGCTAGTTGCTCCACCTCTCTGAGCATCCTCATGGCCTCTGTAGGACCAATATTCTCTGCTATTCATGCAGAGGGCTGGGGGAGGGTCAAATGGGTCACTCTATGAAGGCTGAAGGGCTTGCAGTGGTTCTCAACCTTCCTAATGCTGCGACCCTTTAATACAGTTCCTCATGTGGTGACCCCCAATTTTATTATTACAAATTGAACATAAGTAAAGCATAGTGATTAGTCACAAAAACAATATGTAATTATATATGTGTTTTCTG